AAACAAAAACTAGAATTATCTATTTCATATCCTCCATGTTAGCAAGGCAGTTCGGCTATAAAGCCTATTGGTCAAAAAGTCCTCAAGAACGGGAAAGCCGACCAAAAGACTATTCCATAACTGACTCTTGTTGTCGAATCGAGTGGGTAACAATAGTGACTTTTTATATGTACTCTCCCATATAAATTGATGTGTTTTAAGATGATTTAATGATTTTAAATTAAATAGTTAAAAGAGATACATATCCAACATACCGGCTATTGATAACTAAAGAAACATTATTTCACACATTCTTATAATTAATATATAGTGTCGCACTGTCGCTTAAAATAGAGAGTTAAATCTTACTTTTTTTTATATATATAAATACTAATTTTTTTAATTATGTTATTTTATTTTCTTATCATGGTAAGTTAATAAGTTTTGACAAAAATAAATGAATGATTAGAATGAAAGATAAGTTGTTGGATGGAATTGGATCTTATCTAAGTGACGGTAAAAAGGAAACATAATCCAGACTTATTAAAATCTCATTGGGCCTTTTGTTTTTTAATATTATTATATGTTCAAAAGTATCTTTCCAAGTCTTGCATTAAGAACAAGTGGTGTCTCTTTATAGTTTATATATGTAAGTTTGTAACATCACTGTATTAAAATGATGATTCTGATAGAATAATGTCAAATAAGATGATATATTATCTAAATTTTAGAATAACTTTTGATATGTGTAGTATTATTGATGATTTTACAAGCACATATATCATTGGAGTAATACTACACATATAATATTTTTTTCATACAATATGATATGACAAAAGATGATTGAGTGAAAGTTTATTTTTAATTTAAAATCAACCAATCATCTTTTGTCACGTCATATTGTATGAGAAATGTTGTATAAAAATATTGTTTATATAGTATTATACATATTATTGACATAAAATGATGGGAACATATGAGTATACAAAATTCGGATTCTAACTTTAGATCCTATTTGATGTGTTTGCTTATGTGTCAATACTTCATCAATTATGAGAAACACAATATCACATTACAAATCTTACAATTAATATAGTGTTTGACACATCAGGTAGGAGCTAAAGTTAAAAACCTAACTTTGCACATATAATATTAATGAATCATGCGTGTATAAACATCCCACCCAAACATGAATCAAGTTAACCATAAAATTGGAAGGATAAAAATGCCGTTAGGTTTGAATCATTCCAACTTTCCCTTTTTCCTTTTTTTTTTTTTAATTTAATTTTTTATGATCAGACGTGTCTGGGCTAACTTATGCTCAATTCAACTAATTTTCTAGGACCCTGGAATTGTATATATAATATTAATGAATTATGTGTGTAAATACATCCCACCCAAGCATGAATCAAGTTAACCATATTATTGGAAGGATAAAAGTGCCGTTAGGTTTGAATAATTCTGACTTTCTCTTCTTTCTGTTATTTATTTTTTTATTTTTTTATGATCAAGGGTGTTTGGACGAGCTTACGCGCACCTCAGCTAATCTCTTAAGACCCTAGAATTATCGGTCAGGTAAGAGCTCTAGTGACTACCTCTATCAGCAACTGATGAGGGATTTGAACTTTAAACCTCTTGAGTAATACACATAAAGGTAGTTTACTTTCCCTTCTTTTCTTTTCGTCTTTGTTTTAGTTTTTCGTTCTTTTTTTACATTTGTTAAATTAAATGTCAATGTTATGAGTAAATTAACTTATTTAAGTATAGAAAAAGCCCGCATCATGTTATTTGATCGTGACATTGGTGAAAATCCTCATTTTGATATCATATATGTAAAATAGAATCATATGAAAATCATGGAGTTAGGGAAAGCACTTATGATGTAGGGATTTCGTATTGCCACTTAAATAATATGAGGAATCAGGTGATGAATGAGGACTAAAATTCAAAGTGAACTAATTTGGGAAAGCAGGTGATGAATGAGGACTAAAATGCAAAGTGGAGAGGGGAATAGGAGAGGCCTCCCTGCTCTGAACCACCTCATTGCCATCCCTAGATTTATTTAGTTATCCCTTAGCTAGGAATGAAATTAACCCAAATTGCCTAATAAGGGAAATGTGAAAGAATATTATTTTAAGGATATGTTTGGTTCAGAGAATATTTTGTTATTGAGAATGTTATATTAATAGGAAGATAGATTGTCTTGAAGATTATTGAGAATGTTAAATTAATAGGAAGATATATTACTTTGAAAATTACTAGGAATATTATATAGATTACTGAATTGCCCTTCTTTTTTAATAATATTAATATATAAATATCATTATTATTTGGATTTTTTTTAATCGCTATATTTGAGATTTTGCAAAAACACCCCAGCCGCAATAAAAATTTAAATTTTAACAAAAACACCCCTACTCAACCAAGCCACTGCCGGTCGTTGGCCACCATCGCCAGTTGCAGCCAACTATGGCCTAAACAACGCACAACCGATTGGTCATGCGCCGATCTGGCCATTTTCGGCTAGATGGTCATGAATTTGGCGGAAAACAGCTAGATCCATGGTTGTTTAACGACCAGATCGGCGTACGATGAGCCAAATCTGGTCAGTCATGCACCGTTTCAAGAACGTCAACCAACAATTAGACCCTTAAGAAGTGCCACGGGCATGGGTAAGCATGTGACTTTCATCCTTGGCCACAACCTTGCCAAGACAGTGCATGGGTGTATGCTAAACAAGGATGAGTGATATCAATCATGGGGTGTCTGAGCATTGGGACGCCAAGCACACACTGATGTGACAATCACATAGGTTAGCAAGAGTGGGCACTTGCAAGCTTAAACATGCGCGCGCATGCATGTGTTAGCATGGGCGTTGGGTGCCTATGAGTAGGTCAAGCAGTGCACGGGCTAGGACGTGCACAAACAGGTGATGCGATCAGCAAGCTGCTAAGTACACACACAAGGCAGGCAGTAGTGTGCGTAGGGTGCATGTGTGCATGTGTTAGACTGATGGGATGCTCAGGCAAAATTGCATGGTTGCTTAGACAAGGCTGTAGGATGATTATGTGTGTCTAGATAAGACCTGCATGTGGGCAACTGCTTGGTAATTGTTGTGTAGGTTGTAACCATCATGTAATTGCTTTGCCAATGTGTATATAAGGCGAGCAGACAATATTGTTTGAGAGAGAGAGAGAGAGAGGAGGGGGGGGGGGGGGGGGGAATATGGGTGTGTATTCCTTTATTATAACTTGAGTGTTGTATATGTGAGTTATCCTTATATTCGTTATACATAATATAAGGTTGGGTTTTCTTGTATACTGTGTGCATTACATTTCAGGAGCCTTACTTGTATATTGTTGTTGTAATCTGTGCCAAAGATATGCACATTTGGGGAAGGTTGACAAGTACATAGCGTGCTTGTGCCGAGGAGTGCCTAGAAGGGAGTTTAGGCCCTATGACATTGGTATCAGAGCTAGGTTTAAGCAGGATTGTTTCTTAATTTTCCTTCTTGTTGTTTCATGTCAAGAAGGTTTGAGATGGAAACATTAAGGGAGAGAGTGACTCAGTTAGAGGAATTGATGGGTGAGACTCAAGATGGCCAGACTATGACCATCAATGAGAGACTTGATCAAACTTATCAGAGTTTTGAAATTCTCTATAAGCAATTTATGGAATTGTTGGATTTGGCTAATAAGAGACTTAATGCCCTAGAGGATGGTAATGTCTTGTTGAAGCATGATGTCCCCATAGTTTCGATGGGAGAAGTACAACCAATATTAGGGTACTCGAACCTAAGGCTTTGCCAATATGTATATAAGGCAAGCATGCTATATTGTTTGAGAGAGAGAGGGGATATGGGTGTGTATTCCTTTATTGTAACTTGAGTGTTGTATTTGTGAGTGGGGATCATATTGTAACAGTGGGAAACACTGTGGGTGCATTCTAGTTATCCTTATATTCGTTATATATAATATAAGGTTGGGTTTTCCTGTATATTATGTGCATTACGTTTCAGTAGCCTCTCTTGTATATTGTTGATGTAATCTGTGGTAGGGATACGCACATTTGGGGAAGGTTGACAAGCTCTTGGAGTGCTTGTTCCAAGGAGTGCCTAGAAGGGAGTTTAGGCCTTGTGACACAGGCAATGGTGGTCAGATTCGACCATCTGTCTTGGGTAATCTGGTTCAAGTTCAAGGGTAATAATGTCCTAGAAATCTTGTGCATAAGGATAAAGTAGTGCATGAATGTTCTTGTGAATTGTGTTAAGAACAAGGGCACTAAAAAAAAGATAATATTCAGATTAATACTTATATAACCAATAATAATTACTATTAGTTTTGGAAGATTATTGGAATCTTTTAAAACTTGACAATCAAACATGATAATGTAAGTAATATAAGATGACATTATTGGAGTAATGTTAAATACCCTTGAACCAAACACATCCTAATCGTATTGTTTTGAAACCAGAGCTTTTATAATTAAATCTAATGTGTTTGGATTTTTTAATAAACACCTGCTAGTTTCATAAAATATCTCCTTAACCCTTTATGTTTGGTCTTTTTATAATAAATATTTACTAATTTAAAAAATGCAACTATAACCCTTGTGTGTTTGGCCTTTTTTATAGTGAGTATTCGCTAATTTCAGAAATGTCATCCATTTAATATTCAAATTTATTACCAATTTCATCAATTTAACCTCAAAAAATTATTACCCTCTCAACATTGTTGACAAATTTTGGATGCTAGATTGGTTGAATTTAGGAAAAATGTCATTTTCTTCAAAAGTAAAGGTTAGGATCACATTTCCGAAACTAATGGATGTTCACTACAAAAAAAAACAAAAAAAAAAGCCAAACACGTGGGGATAAGAGTTACATTTCTAAAATCAACGGGTACTCATAATAAAAAGATTAAACAAATGGGGTTTTACAAGCAAGCCTTTTAAACCTGTGGGTTATATAAATATTTTCAAAACCCAAGGGTTCAATGAAATTAACCCGAAAATTGACATCAAAGAATATGAAATAACAAAATTAATTTCGCAAGACGCAGATCACGGCAACACCGGCTGCTTCCGAGCGAACCTTAGTACTCGTCAGTCTTCTCGACACCGGTAACCCACGACGAAACACCTCAAATTCTAGAATCCTCTGGAATCCGCTGCCACCAACCCCAGACAGCGGTGACAGCGGAGTCTCAGCCGCTGATGCAACCAAGCCCCATGATTTTCCAGTCTGAAATTTGGTACATGTGAAGCCTGATCTTTATGTTTTAAAGTTCCGGAAGTTCATTTGATCTTTATCTACAATGGATACACTGTATAATTTAAATTATCTACAATAAATAAATTTGTAAAAAAAGCTTAAAAGTTTATTCCAATTAATCGGATTTTGAATGGTTTGAATTAATTATTCAGGTAGGCATTCACTTTCTCTGTTATATAGATTTTCCGATTCTTCTATGCTCTGTGATTCCTTGCTGAGAAAGACTGGGGGTCAAACTTAAGTAGAGTTTTGGATTCGAAATTTCGTTATTCTTCCAGTTACCAAACTGAAGATCTGTCTTTTGCTTACAAGTCAATTGATCGTTAAATCACTAATCTTTGATAAAAAAAATTATTTGAATCCAATGTTGGAACTTTGCGGGTTGTTTCATTTCGATACAATTCTTTGATTTTTAATATCGGGTATGCGTTACTGCTTAATTGTCTATAACTTAAGTGGTCCAGACATTGGTGGGTTTGAGTAGAGTCTTACTGTTGTTATTATTTATTTATTTTATTTTATTATTATTATTTTTTTTTGCTAGATTTTGGTGCTATTTTTTGGTTATCATAATTTAAAATGGTGGCAAAGATGGAATCGTGATTTATTTTTGAGAGAATCGAGAAATGGGAAAGAAGAAAGAAGAGAAGGTGATGGATGACAAAGTAGACGTTGATAGAGATGATGGTGCATCTTGGTGGTTGGTTCAAAAAGGCATTGGAGCTTCATTTATTTGTATTGCTTTGTTTGCATTACTAGTACGAGTTGCAGTGTCACTCCATCCTTACTCAGGAGCTGGTAATCCTCCAAAGTTTGGTGACTATGAGGCGCAGAGGCACTGGATGGAGATCACTCTCAATCTTCCAGTTACAGAGTGGTACCGTAATAGCACCACCAATGATCTTAGCTACTGGGGTCTTGACTATCCTCCCCTCACTGCCTATCAGAGTTATGTTCACGGCCTTTTTCTTAGATTTTTTGACCCAGAGTCGGTTTCTCTTTTTACATCTCGTGGTTATGAAAGCTATCTTGGGTGGGTATCATTACACTTTTTAATATAATGACACTTTTATAGCACTCTTTTTATATATAATACCAGTTATTATGTCTGCTTTTCATTGCAGAAAGCTACTGATGAGGTGGACAGTTTTATCCTCCGATGCTCTCATATTCTTTCCTGCAGTTTTGTATTTTGTTTGTGTTTACTATACTTCTCACAACAGCAGCCGTAGAAATGATATAGTGTGGCACATTTCAATGCTTCTACTTAATCCATGTCTGATATTAATTGACCATGGTCATTTTCAGGTATCAAAGATCTTTTGCTTGCTTGGCTGCCAGCTCCCATTCTGTATCTTTTATACTAATTCTCATCATATATGATTGTCTATCAGTACAATTGCATCAGCTTGGGCCTTACTGTGGGTGCTATTGCTGCCGTCCTTTCTCAGAAGGACCTTGTAGCTAGTTTCTTATTCACTCTTGCTCTGAACCATAAACAGGTGCTTTCTCTTTTCTACAGCTGGTTTGCATTAATTTTAAATTATCTTTTGCAGTTATCTCACATAGTTGTAGCTGTACCTAGTTTACCATATGTAGTCCAATGTGTTAAAAACCTATGAGTTGAGACCTTGGTATGCTTAATTATTAATTAGGCTGAACAAAGGGAACTGGAGTTTTATTATGGGTTTGTGTTGAATCTGCTGAAATTTACTTGAGGGAGCATCCAACGATCAGATTCTACTAAACAAAAAGAAGCTTCCTGAAGCTTTCAATAGTGTGTGTTTTAATATTAGCAAGGATAAATTATATTATGATATGAACCTGAATGATTCACCCTCAACCAACTCAACTCACACAGATAGCAAGATTAAACAATGAATATTGCGCTGATATTTGTATTAATAATCTGCAGTACTTGATGTTCCAGTACTGAGAACTTTAATGGAAAATGAAGAAGACAAAATGAAGTAAATGAAAAGAAAAAGATAACTCTAGCACTTCGAGGAGCTAGGAACCTCCCAATACAACTTTTGTGAATAATCCCATACCCTGTACATCTTTTGTAATCTTCTTATACCCAATTATCTTAACAAACTTATTCTACTCGTCTGTAGGCCTAACAAACTAATTGCTAATCTGGTGCCACATATATATATTCCTTTTTTAAGCACTCCCAGCAACTCCCATGTGGCCTTCTAATCCACTTTATTCTTCCTCACGTACACCTTGCTGCTAGGCTGTGTAATTCCCTTGATGCCTTCCTTTGAACCTCCTGGAATGTTTAGTTTCCTATCAATACCCCCCTTAGAAGAGCCACCTTGTCCTCAGGGTGAAAGCTGGGATACTGATTAGCAATGACATCATATGGCTCCCACATAGCTTCAAAAGAAGGAAGATCCTACCACTGAATTAGGACCTCCCTAGAGCCATCCAAAAGAGTCCGAATGTCCAGAACTGAAGCGGGATGGACCATTAACTCTAAGTCCTTAGTCAAGAAGGCCGGAAGAGGTTGTATAGGGACTGTTGAGTGCAAACTCTGCTTGAGTTGAGAAACATGGAAAACCGGATGGATTTTGGCAATAGGAGGTAGAGCTAAGTTATAAGCAACTTGCCCTATCCGTTGCACAATTGCAAAGGGACCATAGAAACGGGGGCTCAGCTTCTCATTGAATTTCTTGGATAAAGACTTGAATTTATATGGTTGCAGCTTGAGGTAGACAAAATCACCAGGGTGGAAAACTACGTCCCTATGGTGGGCATTGGCTGTAGTCTTCATGCGAGTTTGCGTTGCATGTAGGTTGTCTTTAAGATCCTCCAAAAGAGCATTGCGTTCGACCGTTTGTTGGTTAATATCCTCCACAGCAGATGTAATTTTAGTGAATTTCAGGAGAAGTGGGGGGTCCTGTCCATAAAGAGCCTTGAACGGAGTCATTTTGGTAGCGTTGTGATAAGAGGTATTAAACCAAAACTCAGCCCAAGAGAGCCATTTAGGCCAGTGCTTAGGTTTGGGGGAAGTGAAACATCAAAGATAAGTTTCCAAGCAACGGTTAACCACCTCTGTTTGTCCATCTGTTTGGGGGTGATATGCCGAACTAAACTTAAGGATAGTCCCTGCCAACCGAAATAATTCAGTCCAGAAATGACTCATAAATACCCGATCTCTATCAGAAACGATTGATTTGGGAAACCCATGAAGACGTACTATCTCTTTGATAAAAAGAGTCGCAACCTGCTTAGCATCACAAGGGTGGCATAACAAAAGAAAATGACCATATTTAGTCAACCTGTCAACAACAACTAGTATAGTGTCATACCCATAAGCTTTAGGGAGTCCCCCGATGAAATCCATAGAAACGTCATCAAATGCTAAATTAGGAATGGGAAGTGGCTGCAAAAGGCCAGCAGGTTTTAAGGGCTGATGCTTGTTCTGTTGACAGACGCCACAAGCCAGGACAAACTTTTGAACATCACATTTAATGCCTTCCCAGAATAGGATGCTAGTGATTCTTTTGTAAGTTCGATAGAACCTAGAGTGCCCGCCACTTGGAGTGTCATGTAACTCATGGAGCAACTGGGGAATAAACTTATATGTCTTGGGAAGTACTAACCTGCCCTTGTAGAGGGGGCAGCCATTACGAAGAGAGTAATTTGGCCAAGATGACGCATGTAGTAGCAAATCTTGCACAACTACCTTGAGTTTTGGATCTTGGAAAGCCTCAGCAGCCAACTCTTCATACTCACCGAAGTGTGATATCGATAGTGCATGCATGGACACAACTGATTCCCGGCGGGACAAGGCATCAGCAACTTTATTGGAGCTGCCAGGTTGGTACTGGATCTCGAAGGAGAATCCTAACAATTTGGAGATCCATTAATGCTGCTCAGGGGTCAAAGGTCGTTTGTCCATCAGGAACTTGAGGCTGCGCTGGTCAGTCTTGACAATGAACTTTCGACCAAGCAAGTAATGACTCCATTTGCGAATGGCGAAAACAATCGCCATGAGCTCACGCTCATAAACTGACTTTTGTCGGGATGAGTAGGAGAAAGCCTTGCTAAGAAAAGCTACTGGGCGACCTCTTTGTACTAGTACAGCGCCTATTCCTGATCCTGACGCATCAGTGTGAAGCTCAAAGGGCAGTGAAAAATCAGGAATGATCAACACCGGAACAGTCACCATGGTGTGCTTGAGAGTGTCAAAGGCTTTTTGTGCTTCCTCACCCCAACGAAAGGAATCTTTCTTAAGCAATTGTGTTTGGGGGGGGGGGGGGGGGGGGGGGGGGGGGGGGGGGGCTATTTGTCCATAATTCCGAACAAATCTTCTGTAGTACCCTGTGAGCCCCAAGAATCCCCGTAAGCTCTTTAAGGTGGGAGGAGTTGGCCAAGATAACATGCATTCAATCTTTGTCGAATCTGCCTCCATTCCGTTCGCTGAGATTAAATGATCCAAATACTTTAATCTCTCCTGAGCAAATACACTTTTGTTTTTATTAAGGACCAGCTGGTGCTCCTGTAATGTCTGGAAAGCCTGTCTCAAATTCAGAATGTGAGTAAACAAATCAGTGCTATATATCAGAATGTCATCAAAAAAAACAAGAATGAATTTGCTGAGGAATGGCTTGAAGATGTCATTCATCAATGCTTGGAATGTGGAGGGAGCGTTAGTCAGGCCGAATGGCATAACTAAAAACTCATAATGGCCTTCATGGGTTCGAAAGGCAGTCTTTGGGATATCCTCATCTCGAACCCGAATCTGGTGGTAGCCCGATGTAAGGACAAGTTTTGAAAATATGGAAGCGCCCCCTAACTCATCCAATAACTCATCGATGGTGGGTATCGGAAATTTATTGGGAATGGTGAGATCATTCAAAGCCTGATAGTCGACGCAAAATCTCCAACTTCCATCCTTCTTTTTAACTAGTAAAACGGGGCTTGAAAAGGGACTTATGCTATGGTGGATAATACCAGCCGCTAGCATCTCACCCACCAATTTCTCTATCTCATTCTTTTGAAAAAATGGGTATTGGTAAGGCTGAATGTTGGGGGGTTGAGCCCCTTCTCTGAGAGTGATGGCATGATCTCTTTTACGATGGGGGGGAAGAGTTCCTGGTTGTTCAAAGAGACTAGAAAATTCGGTCAGAACAACCTCCACTTTCGGATGCAAAATTGGGACTGAAACACTATCTGGATGAGTAATATAATAGAACTCAATAACATATCCCTCCCCCTGTTGGTGCAGTGACTTGAGCATTGCTTTTAACGAAACCGCCCTTTTCACTAAGGAAGGATCTCCCTGTAGGGTCACTGATTTTCCATGAACTTCAAACTTCATTGTTAGGCTCTTCCAATTAGAACACGTATCCCCCAAAGAACTCAGCCAGGTTATTCCCAAAACGACATCCGCTCCTCCTAACTCAAAACGGAAAAAAATCTTGACAAACTGTGATGCCCTGAATTTCTAGTTTCACTTCTCTACAAACCCCAGTACTCCTTACTGTATACCCATTCCCCACCATGACGCCAAAAGTCTTAGTATCATCCCTACCCAGCTGCAACTTATTGACCAGATCTTCAAAGATGAAGTTATGGGAGGCCCCAGTGTCAACCAACACTATGACTCTATCCCCTTTAATCTACCCACGAAGCTTCAGCATGTTTGCTGAAGGTATACCCACAATGGAACTCATAGATAGGGCAATAGGAGTACCTTCTGTATGGGTCTCATCCTCGGATTTCAGAATGGTTTCTTCCTCCTCAGACTCTTCATCAGCTGTGACATACAAAATCTGCAGTGTTTTGTTCCGGCAATGATGATTGGGGCCAAATTTCTCATCGCACGTGAAACACAACCCCCTTTCTCTTTTATACTGCATTTCTGTGTCTGTTAGTTGTCGGAAATTACCCTCTCAAAGTGTTGTTGGTGAATATTCTGGTGGTCTTTCTCCCTTTTCAAATCGCGTTTGTACTCCACTGGTGCGATCTGCACTTTATGCGTAGTTGGAGCCTGTTGGAAACCTCCTGCAACACAAAGCTCACGGCAACCAACACACACACCACAAGGCAATAGGCAAAGATGGTATGAATGACAAATTGTATTAATAGCTACTGAATGAAAGAACAGAACAAATGCAATTAGCAAACTGATAAATCCCAGCAGTTCGAGGAGCTGGGGACCTCCCACCCAATTTCCAGAATATAAACTATATCCCCTACCCTCCACTCTCTTTCCCATTTATAAGCAAGTTATTCCCTTCTGTAACAGACTTGACAGCCACCTGTCCAGCCACCTGTCCAGACTCATAACAGACTCCACAAACCTAACAACTTTTATTGCACACCTCAACCCCTGAAAACAAACTCATGCCCAACACCTCTTTATTCTTATTCCCTCTTTTGCCCTTGGATTTATAGACCTTATGTATGGGAGGTCTAACAATACCCGCCCCTCGAAGTGCCACCTTGTCCTCAAGGTGAAATTGAGGGAATTGACTGTTTATCACCT